GGGGGGGCTGGAATCGTGTTTAATAACAAAATCTGTATGCAAGCCTGCATCCCGGGCTAAGGATGAGTGATCAGCAGCCAGAAAGTATTAAAAAGCTTTGCTAAACAGATGCTGACAATAGAACAAGACATATCAAATCAGATCGACTTCAGGAACATTAATATACACACGTGCACGCACACAGACACGCACCCGGCCCGCGCGCCCGGCCCCCCGGTCCGCCTCGCCCGCCGCGGGAGGGGAGGCATCAATAAATTTTTATGAGACTTTTAGAAGATCGACGCGGTACTCGATGTGACAAAAAAGCAATGTGCCTGTCATGTTCGCTTTGCTGGGGACGCGCCGGCCCCAGATGCCGCGCTGCCACGGCGGCGGGCAGAAATTGAATTTGGCTGGTTCTAATCTGCCTTGATTTGGCAGATGGCTGGGTGTTATGAAATGAGAAGGGATGGAGGGAAGGTGGCCTCTCCTGGGGCTGCCCCCGCCCTGCCCCAGGCCTTGCACGGGGTGTTAGGAGGAATTATCTGGCGTGACCAGGCCATAAGGGGTGCAGGAGAGGAGAAGTCTTCCCCCGGGGTTTCCCCCCACCCCGACAGCTGGCTTTGCTGGGTTCCCTGAGTGCACCGGGTTCGGGGTGCGGGTGCTGCTGGCCCCAGCCGTGAGCTTGCCCAGGGGGAGCAATGGGGGCAGCGTGTCTGGTGCAGCAGGATCTGCAATCGTGCCCAGCCCAGGGCACTGTTGGGGGTGGCAGGAGAGCCGCAGGTGGTCCGGACCTCCATGACACAGGAGCCAGCTCCCTTCCCGCCTGGGCCCAGCAAAGCTGCCCTCGGAGCTGCCCCGGGGCTGATATTTGGGGCACAGGCCACCCCGCCGTGCCTCGTCCTTCTGCGGAGCCACAGTGGCCTCGCACGGATCGGAGCCAGCCTGGCAGCTCGGGGACGCTGGCACTCCTGGCAGACAGCTCTTTGGGTAAATGTTGCATCTTTTATTAGACCAACTAAATATTGGCACTGCTGGGGCTTGAATCCTGCCTTTCCTTTTAAATCACTCCGGCACGGTGGGGGGGAAGCAACTTCTTCCTCTTCCGGACAGAAATTAAAACCTTTCTTGTACTCGACAGAGAGCCCTGCATTACCATTTCTCCTCCGCTCCTCAGCTTTTGGCCCCGGAGCTCCCTTCCCCTTCGGGGCCCTTTCACACAGTCGGTGCAAAGGCCAAGGTCCCACCGCGGAGATAAACGTCCCCTGGCTTTTGGCTGAAATCTCCTGGAAAAGTTTCTATCGCCTTTAATTTAGGGGGATCTTTTTTTAGAGCCGCCCCCTTCTTTCCCAGCTAAATTTATTTATTCTAAAATAAATTTATTAGTCCCATTCTATTAGTCCCATTAATAGCAGATATTTTTAACGCGGGGGGATTTGGGAAGGAAGCCTTGCTTCCCAGTGTGCAACTGCGGGCGAGGAAGAAAGTGCCCCTGGGAGCGGGTTCCCGCACACGCGACTTCTCACGCCTTCCTCTGGCGCTGGTCCCTGCTCGAGATAGGATCCCGGACCCCGAGGACTAATTCACCCTTCCTCGAAATAGCAAGATCGGGGAAAGGGCTCGCGGCCGTCAGCAAAGAGAAACCTGCCGTTCCATAAACGCTGCAGACAAATTGGAAATGGTAAACGGGAAACGGAGACCTTTAAAGTTCAAACACTTTTCGGCGCCTTTTAAAGTTTTTTGCTCTAGGCCCTGGCAGGGAGCACAATCTTTGGAGACCTCGGAGATCTCTTTAATCACCAAGCCAGTCTGCTGTGCTCGGAGATGATTACACATTTACATAGTAATAACCCCGACACTCCCCACATTATTTCACGGCTAGCATATTTCCACTCGGCGAGTGATCCATGTGTTTTAAATTATAACCTGTACATAGGAAATTAGTTACTAAGTAGGATATTCACAGGCTCGCCTGACACTTCTAATTAAGGTGATTTACATGGAATTATCCTTCGAAATAAAAAAATGGTGTTTTGCTAGCTAATAAAATATAATTACTACCCGCTTTTATAAGTTACAGTGCGTTTTAATCTATTTGGGGACTTGTTTATCTAGTTCATTACAACCAAACAACTGCTCTTCCTTTCTAGGCGGAAAAGAAAAAGGGGTGAGGGAGAAATGCAGGGCAAAGAGGGGGTCCACCCCCGGGCTGGACACACGCACGTGCCCGGTGTTCACCCGCGTTCGGGGACTCAGCTCATCTGGCAGGTGACAGAAGGCAACGTCCTTGTCCCCAGCAGCCGCCGGCCCCTGAGTTATGCTTTCCCCTGGGCATCTGCCCCGAGACAGCGTCGCCCCTATTATGGCCAAGGGGGCTGAGCGGGCGACAACCGAGTGCAGCCGGGGCCCCTTGCCGGCGCGGCTCTGATTTATATCCCGTCATTATGATTTCACGTCAGCTGCTAAGAGGAACATTTCCTTGCAGCAAACCTGGGAGAAAGAGGAGAAACCGTGAGCATGGGGCGCGGATGCTGCTGCCCCAGCTGGTGGTTCGCAGGCACCTGAGGGCTCCCGGGCAGCTGCTCCAAGGACCCCGGGGGACGGCCAGGCCCAGGAGGGTGCACTGTATGTTCGAAGGGGCAGCAAACCCCTCCCCACATCAGGTTCTCCGTTGCCCGCAGCCCTCGGCCCCCAACCGCCTCTGCTATTAGCAGCCCTCGCACATGTGTCTTCTGCACTGAGCCGATCCCAAAGTCGGTGCTTTTAGGATGGGGCTCATCTAATACTCTTGATACCTCCTGCTGCCTCAATAGTGCTCCCGGAGGGGAAAGCAGCAAAGCCCAGCTCTCAGGACCAGGCAGGATGTGTGCATGAGCTCTGGGGTCCTAGGGCCACTGTTGGGTTGCAGCCAGTTCAAGACCACGCAGGAGCAGAGCGCCAAGGATGGGAAGGGTCAGACTGGGGTGCCCCAAACTGCATGAAGGCGGCCTGGTTTCAGAGGTGCTCCATGGAGTCGAGACGTTGGCACCAAAAGCGAAGGTCCTCCATGGAGGTGCTGAGCTCTGCGTCTCCGTGCCCGCCTCTCAGTGCTGCTAGCTCAAGGGCTGCAAATGCTGCACCCTGCTGCTCCTGGGCACAGGGACCCGGTTTTGTGCAAGAGCAGACGTTGGCTGCCAGCTCTGCCGATGAGCCAGGCTCGTGTTTATTAGGTTTCTTCTACCAGGCAGAAACAAATGAGCTGATTATGCAGGGGAAACAGTGCGGACGACTCCACAAAGAGCTCTGGCTTGCACGGAGCCAACGGCTGCACACGCAGCGGGAAATGCGGCTTTGGCCAATACGTTTCAGCCCCGGCGCCTGCCCCAGACCGGCAGTTCTCGGCGTTTTAGACATGGGGGACCCCTGGATACACTTGGGACACCCCCAAAAGACTCGGGCACCCCTGGGAAAATGCCAGCTCTTAGCTTTGACTTTGCAATGCAAGAACGGCTTTCTGCCATCGCGCACAAGAACGGGGCCAGCCCACCACAGGGCAGGATGGTTTTAACGCTACGGATTCCTGTTTGCAACCTCTGGGTTTCTCCTGTGAGTTTGCACGCCTGCCAGTGCTAGCATTGCCTGGCACCCTTGAAAGGACCTCAAGGCCCCCCTGGGGTGCTGCAGGACCCCAGTTGAGAATCATGGTCCTAGACCGTGTAGCCTTCCCGAGGCGGTTTGCAAACAGCCCGGTGAGGACTGTGCATCCAAGGGGATCCCTAATGTGTGCCCAACCAGTAGCCGGGATAACCCTGGCCACGGCCAAGCCCCATGTTTCTTGAACCTGAGCAGTTCGGAGGCTTGTGCTCATCCTCAGTGAGAGCACGTTTGAGAGCCTGGGAGATGCTTGCAATGGCTGGCAACCGACCACGCTGCAGCGGCAGATTTGCAAAAGACCCCCGAGCTCAGCTGTTGCAAGCATCTCCCAGGCTCTCAGCAGGGCCAGACAGGGCCAGAGCAATGGGCCATCCAGCTGTGTCCTGTCCCCAACCGCAGCAGGGCCGCAGGCTGTGGAGGAAGGGCGCTGAACTGGGTCCCTCTCCCTGTTCAATATCCAACAGCACTGGGGTAGAGGAAACATCTCCCACAGCCATTCCTAGACCCATCACACACAAACTTACCCAGTCCCTTTTTGAACCTGGTTCTGCCTTCACCTCCTGGGGCAATGAGTTCCACCTGTTCACCACATATTGCTCTAAAAAGTCCTTGCTCTTATACCCGTCTCCTATCATTTCCCCTCGTTCTAGCACTTGTCCGCACCCTTCCTGATGTTATAGCCTCAA